CTTGAGATAGCTCAAAAACATGACATAAATTGCTATAAGAGATCGTCTGCAATAGGAGAACAATAGGAGATCGTCTGCAAAGCACATATTGGTGATATGCAACCTCTCGCATTTCAGATGATAGTTGAAATTGCTATCTCTTTTCATTTTGTAGAGATATCTATTAAGACTTTCTATCACAATAACGAAAAGTAAGGGTGATATAGGATCACCTTGCCTTAAACCCCTTATGGCCTCCATAATGGTGGTATAACTATCATTAACATTGAACATGTACGAAACGGAGGAGACAACTATCATTAACTAGTTTGTAAACTTCCTGGGAAAACCTATCTCGTGTAAAATATTCTCCAAAGCTCTCCAATCAATTGTGTCGTAGGCCTTTTGAATGTCAATCTGAATAAGACATCTAGGTGTACCCCATTCCCATCATAACCTTTGATCAGTTTGTAAGCTAATAATATATGACCGTGGATGTTTTGTCCTTTTACAAATGCGACCTGGTCTTAACCCACAAGCGTGCCCATTACTTAGCTCATCCTGTTTGCTAGCACTTTTGATATGATCTTGTACAATGTGCTGCAACACACAATCAGTCAATAATCTTTTATAATTTTGGCCTCATTGTGTTTAGGGAGTAAAGTCACCACCGAGCAGTTTGCAGCCTTGTAAAGCCTCCCATTTATGAAGAAATCTTGGACAACTTCAATGACATGTTTTTTTAATTATACGCCATGCCTTATTAAAAAAAATGCACCATATCCATCGAGTCCTGAAGATTTCATGTTACCAATGTCTTTTAGAGCATTTTTAACTTCAGTCTCTGTAACAGGCGCAATTAGTCTGCATCTAAGTGTTTTCCTCATGGTAATGGTATCAACTACATCCAGTCTATTCTCATCCTTTCCAATTAGATTTTTATAGAAATCCAACATCTCCTTTCCCAGCTCTCTTTGAGTGTTTACACATGAACCATCTTCTTTTTGCAAGCTTTTCATATTTTTGAATTATTGTCTCATCTTGATAGCTGCATGAAAATATCTATTATTTCCATCACTCACCCGTAACCAACCTATTTTTGTCCTTTGTCACATAATGTTAATTTCAATTTCCTACCACTTTATTAACTCATTAGAACATTCTTTGACCTTGTCAATATTGTTGGGATTCATCCTGTCATTCACCAGAACAGTTTGAGCCTGCTGCAACTTTTCTCTGGATTCAACGATATTCTTGGTTACATCCATAATTGGTTTGCTCAATTTTTTGATGATGGGTTGAAGCCTCTGCAACTTCTTCCAAACTACATACATAGTTGGCCCTTCATCAGTGTGTTCCAGCTACTGCTCACAATTTTTTGGAACTGGTCCAAATTTGTAGTATAGTTTATAAATTTGAAATTGTTGGTTTTCCTATGCTCTTGTACCTGTTCCTTTAACATTAGCATGACATGATCAAAAACACTAGGTGTCATGTATTTTAGAATGACGTTCCCATGTTCCTGCATCCATTCCATGTTTCCCATCATTATATTTATTCAAGAGTAGATAGCATTATCCCCTTATTTGTTCGACCATGTAAAATAATCACCATCATTTTCCATTTCATACAAACCATCGTTGCTCATCATGCTTGTGAGGTCTATGTAATTCTTTTCCGTTACCATATTTCCCCTATCATGTCTTCTACTTTCACGACATTGTTACAATCGCCTATGAGCATCCACATACCCTGTTGGTGATAGTAAATTTCCTCAATATCATGCCATAATTCCCTCCTCTAATCCAATTGGTTATGTGCATAAATTGCAGTCATCTAGTATAGGAACTTCCCACTTGTATCAGTCACCCTACAATGTATCATTTAGTCAATTATTTTTGTATGTTCGATATTTATTCTATCATCATCCCAACAAACCCATAGTGTATCGTTCTCATGTTTTTCATAGTTGTCCACATATTGAACTTTCAATTTCAGTTTGTCTTTGATCATCTGAGCTTTGTTCTTCCTTATTATGGCCTTAATCAACACAATAATTTGTGGGTTAAGTTTTTGGAGACGAGAGCTTATCTCCTTACTTTTACCCACCTTTTTTAGCCCCCGAACATTCCATGAAATAATCATGGAACTTCTTCAGGAAACACCAAGGACGGACCCCCCCCCCCCCCTTAGTGTAGCAAAAGAATTTCCACATTTGACTTTTGACAGACATGCAGTTGGAGATTTATTTCTTCCTGTGTTTCTGCCGCTGACATTTACCCTTTTCATAAATTTATTCCATGGTTCGATGACTTGGTCCTCAGCAGTGTGGTTGTGTATCAATTGGCTCTTTGAAGGAGATTGAAAATCTGGTTGCTCTGTTGGATCGTCTGCTTGAAGTATGTTGTTTCCTGTTGTGTTTCCAGCCCATACTTCCTGTAATTCTTGTTGGTTGTTCTTCAGCTTGGGCATCTATTTTTTGATCACTTGTTTTTGTTGTCTCTCTTCACACTGGTGTCCAATTTTGTGGCATTTATAACAATATGGTTGCCTCTATTCATATTTTACCAGTTGTTGCATCTTATTCCCCTCCTTGTCTCTTATTGTGATTTCAGTTATCTTCTCTTGTGTAATATCTATCTCAACAAGAATTCTTGCATAAGATATTTAGTACTTATTAGTCGTGCATTCGTCTGCCATTAATGGTATTCCCAGTACACTTCTAATCTTGCCTAGGTTGTTTGCTCCCCAAAGGTGAAGTGGCAGTTGAGATAACTTTATCCATACCGAAATTGTTCGTTTCATATCCTTTTTTAAGATTGAAATCTGACTTCCATTTAGTCAACAACATCGACATGTTTCGAATTGAATACGGGCCATTCAACAATATTGTATCCCTATCCTTGTGAGATTGGAATCTTAGCACAAAATATCTCTTTTTTTGTAATACATATTAGACAGTTTGACAAAATTCCAGTTTTTCGACATGTATTGTTTTACAACGTGCATACTCAATTCACCCTCAAGAACATACATGATTAGCAAGGTGTCCTAGAATTTGACCTCGTTTGCAATGTCCGCGTCTTTGATTTTGACTTTGATCACTCCATCAACAAATTTTGGTGCTATGAATTCAATCTTCATGCCATTACTTGGATTTCGATTACCACTGATCACATCCACCCATAATTTTCGTGGTTCATCCGACTCCTTTTTCGATTCCAGGGTTTTTGGTTTTTCAATCGTTCCTTATGTCATCTAAGTTCCTCTGTCGTTTATGGTTTTTGTTGTGTTATCAACCAATTCATTACGCAAGCCTTCGTCTTCTGGTTCTTAATTGTCCTTTGCCCTTTCCTTAGATGAAGATGCCATCGACATTAACACCACCCCTTTTGATGAAGACGCGATTGATTTTGTTAGAACGAAAAACTTAGTTTTCCTTTATTTCCTCTTTATTTATTTTTAATTTTTTTATTCAACTTCATAAAAAAAAAGGTATTCACACAAACACAATCCCTTAAATATTGATTGCTTATAAAAAAAATTACATATAAATATTAATTTCATACAAATAAAACCAAATCAATATCAATATTTTCCACATTTTCCAAAGTTTTTAAGTTTATTTTTGCACTAAGAAGTACTTAGCACTATAAAATAGCCGAGTCCCAAATAACAATAACCAAAAATATCAGTCCAAAACCAAAAAGAAACCCAAAAGTCAATCTCACTCACGCGTAGTGTCTATAGATAACTAAAAACCCTAAATCGCAGTCGTGCCGTTTCTCTTCTTCATCTTTCCGTCGACGTTCGACTAGGGCTGCGCAGCCCTTCATCTCCGGTTCAGCAAGGTACTCTCTCACTCTAAACCCTAATTCTTCTCCATCTCTCGAATTTCCGTTCTTTCGGTTTTGTTCTGTTGATTTTTTTCATTCTTTGGGTTTCGTATGATTAACCTAAAAGATTTCAATTTTCGTGTTTCTTTCCTCTTATTATCGCTTTGTTGTTCGATTTGAAACCTGGGTTGGGTGAATTTCTCTCCAATTTTTTATTTTGATGTGAAATTGAGGTACTTTTACTTTTTTTTGATTACTTGATCTAGTGACATTTGTCGGTTATAATGCTTTGTGATTTCGTGTATTGCATCATATCGTTATTGGGTCGGTGAATTTCTCTCCAATTTTGAATCTTTAATATATTGAAAGTTTAGATATATACTCAATTTTGAATCTTAATGAATCACAACCAATCTTCGATAATACTATGATTAGAGTCAAATGTTTGTACTGATTTGGGGATTATGATTGAAAAAAATATTTGTGTGGCCTTGTTTAGGAATTAAACCCTATAACTGTTTACTCAAATATTGGAAGGTTCTTTAAAAAAACTGTTCAAAGGTTAGTTTTTTATGTCATTAGAGAGAGTTTAAGTATTTTGATCTGAAATTTATGGTGGTTTTTGTCTGTTTGATGTGTTTATTCAGGCTGTCCAGTTGATTTGTTATCATATGGACTGATAGTTTCCTTGATGCCTTTGTGTCAAAGGGGTTAAAGTCTTCTGACTTTTGAGAACTTGGAAATTTGGAGTGTGTCCTCGCACTCACCGTTTATATCACACCATGATTGCCACAGAGACTATTGCACCAACTACAAAGTTGAAGATCAAATTCTCCACCAAAAGGATAGAAGTTATTTCTGGGCCAAAATGTCAGTTTGGAGAGAAAGTGTCTCAACTTGATGCAAATAGTAGACCCTGTAATTCTATCAAAAAGTCGTCGCCGCTATATTCCAAGAAAAGGGAACCATCTGGGAATATTGAGGGTCCTAAGAATAAAAGGCAGAAGATTGATCGGAAAGGGTCTATGATGTGTGCTGCAATCCTCAAATGCTTATCATCTCATCACTATAGCTGGGTGTTTATGAAGCCAGTGGATCCTGTAGCATTGAACATTCCAGATTATTTTACTGTCATATCTCATCCCATGGATTTAGGCACGATTAAATCCAAGTTGGAGAAAAATATTTATTATAGCAAAGAGGAGTTTGCAGCCGATGTCAGATTGACCTTTTCAAATGCCATGACATATAATCCTCCTAGCAACGATGTTCATTTGATGGCAAAGGATCTCAACAAATTGTTCGACAGAAAATGGAAAGATATGGATAAAAAATGGAATTGTGAAGATGAGCTTGTGAAAAGTGAACATGGGAAAAGAGAGACTGGGATAATTAAAGAAACTGTGAGAAAAAGTTGTATCGGTACACAATCCCGGCATAAAGATTCCTTAACCAAAAGGTCCCGAGCATCTGAACACAAAGTAATTCATAAGATTAGTTCATTGACACCAAGAGATGCTAAAGTAAGTGTTTATTCTGTGAGGAGAAAAGCCTTATTAAAAATGCAACTATGCAATATATTTACATGAATTGATATAAAATTTATGCTTCTACCAACTTTGTTATCCACAGTCACCTTAATGTGAGATGGAACTTTTTGTTTCTATTATGTAATTTTGATAGATGTATATTGACAATGCTTTACTCATAGGTGGAGGTACCTAAATTATCACAGATTCCTGGCAAATCACTTCAGAAGGACTTGTTTAAAGGTATGATGCATTAAGGCCACTGTATAGGTTTATGGTTATGTAGAAGAGCTAATAGTTGTGTATTCCATAGGCGATAAATATTAAGAAAAGCCTGTCTTCCATTGAGTCTTGTTGCATGCAAGTGTAATATTTATTGTGATATCATACACTGTTGGGTCATTTCTAGCAATTTCAACTATTGGGCTATCAGCTAATTGGATAATCTTGTGGTTGCTTACGTGCTTAATGTGTTATTGGTTGCCTGATTGATATATATCTGTGGATTGACTTTACATGTCTTCTGAAGGATCTGAAGATAGGCAGCCAACAATGTGTAGTGCTGCTGCTTTGAGACAGGTCTTATTCACATTCCATAAGCAAAATTAGATGTAACTTTAAGGCATTCCTGTTGCTTTTAAGTCTAATAAGAATTTATATCTTTACCAGGACTGCAAGATTAAATGCACATCGCCTTCGCAGAGGAAATCTGATCCTGGTTCTGATGGTGAGAAGAATTATGATTTGTAAAATATTATGTTCTACCCGCTTAAGTTACTGCTGATATGGTATACTTAATGTTGATATTATGTAAAGGAGCTGTAAGTTCTTTAGATAGTGAACACGCATGTCCTAGTTCTCAGCATACAACTCTTGCTACTGACGCCTCTTCTGGTGAAGGTCTGTTTCTCTGTCTAATAAGCCTCAATTAAATTTTATTTTTTTGTGATGACATCTGATAGTGATATGCTTATATTTTTTATGTTTTAGTATGGAGCACCACTGTTCTTCCTGTTCAGCTTTCACCTAAAAAGGCTCTTCGTGCTGCTATGCTAAAAAGTCGCTTTGCGGATACCATATTGAAAGCTCAACAAAAGACTCTTCTCGATCTTGTATGGCTTTCTCTGTACTCTTGCCTTAACAAAAAGGTATTTTTGAAATGTAGTGTGTTTACTAATATATTTTTCATTACACATTTCAGGGTGATAAAAGTGATCCCCTGAAAATGCAGCTTGAAAAAGAGAGACTGGAAAGGATACAACGTGAAGGTGAATATTATCTCTTGAAAGACAATTTAATTTGATAGAACATATGAATACTTCTTTGAACTATTGAGTGCTCATCATCAGCATTACTTGTATTTGTCGTTTTTCCAATATTCTTAATCTCAATAAAAACATGCGCTTGCATTTTATCTGTATCATGCGATGTGTATTATAAGGTGGCCATCTACCGCGGTTTCTCAATAAACTGAGGTTTTTGCAAATAGATATACTGAAGCACCCTGTTCCATAAAAACTGTCACATTTGTTTGTTTTTGAGAAAAATATTGGTAATTTTTGTCAAATTATCCTAGTTGTGCATTGATGTATTCACCATTATAATAAATACAGAGTGAACTATATAATGTCATTCAGATAATATTAGATGATACAATTGAGTAAATAATTAATATTCTCTTGAAAACAAAAACAATGTCATTCATTTTGGTACAATTTGTTTTTGTTAGTGTGACACTAACTGTAAGACAGACGAGTATTCAGTGATTTTGGAGTGGTAGGCAATATGATATGATGTGCACTTTTTTGAAGTTTGTTCTTAGATTCTTTAAAGTGATTTCTTATTTAATTCATTTATGATAACAGAGCAAGCAAGGATCGAAGCCCAAATTAAAACTGCTGAAGCAGCTGCAAGAATGAGAGCTGAAGAAGAATCGAGGCAACATATAGAAAAGGAAAGAGAAGCCGCACGAGCTGCGATTGAAAATGTTAGACTCTTGTCCTATATTTATGTATATTTTGCCACTCATTTTATATATGAGGGAAATGAATATTCACTGTGGTGTCTTTTGTAGATGCAAAGATCTGTAGACATTGAGCATAATTTGGAGATTGTGAAAGAGCTGGAGAGTTTGAGTGGCTGTACACTATCTTATAAGGCTCTGGGCGGTAGAAATGGCTACAGAACTGCAATGGGGAGGTTGGATAAGCTACAGTTTGAGAACCCATTGGAGCGACTAGGTCTATTTATCAAGGATGACTATGACGCAGATGAAGATGAGGAGGTTCTGAATGGGGGAGCAGTCTGGGAGGAAGGGGAAATTTTTTGACAAACCTTTGTTCTGCCAGTATTGATTGTTTATATATCCTCGAGACAGGAATCATACAATAATTGTAATCAGGTCTAATGTTTATGTGTGCCTTGTTAGAATATAAAAACCTGGAGAATCCTCCTGCAAACTTAGAAGCACGGTAGACTTAGTGTTGTCTTGTGATATAAAAATGTTGAGATTATGCTTAAAACTGAAAATATTGTGATTATTCAGTCTCGAAATAACACTTAATTTGTTAAGAGCTTTATCTATTGACATACATTTTGGAACTTCTGTATTACGCTTATCAAGCTGTTAGCAAAAAAAATCCGGCAAAACATGGTTGAAGGCAAATAGAGTGAGTAGGTTCTAGAAGTTCGGTAATTTTCACAACAAACAAATCGCGCTTCTTGAGGTGTGGTATTTAATCACAAGTTTACAATCAAAACAGAACGCATAAGCAATTTCCAAAACTTAACGGCATGGAAAGATAAACAAAAAAGTCTAGCAGATATTCAATCAATCTCTAGGATGTAAGAATTTGTCAACATTCAACCAAAAATGGCAATTAACTAAATCACTCTATTATTGATGAAACATCGTCTACAACCAAAAAGATTATCCGTACACAAATCTGGAAATACTACTCAGGATGAGAGATTTAAAAGACTTAGAAAGCATTAAGCAACATGTTGAATATCGGAGAGGCATCTCTCATGCAAATTGCTAGTTTGCTATACAGTTCAAACAACATATTTGTTTTTAGCATTTCTGTCTAGCTTCCTTGCATCATCCTGCAAAAATAGCATAATACAAAAACAACAGTTAGGCAGATTTAACATAGTGTGCAGCAAATACGTGAAAGCACGCAGGTAGTTCTACTTACATGAAATATAAAGCCCATGGTCTCATTATAATCAAGAAACTCCTTCCACTGTTTTCCAATGCTCACCTGAAATACAACAAAGTTAAGTTTTACATGTTCCTCAAGTTGCTAGAAGTTCAGTCAGAAGATTCAAACAGACACCAGCACAAGCATACAAAAATAGATATGGTATATTGCTAACTCTTGCCGTCATAAATCATAACAAAAAGCTAGCTAGGCATGTTCAAGAGTAAATTGCATGGAATTATCACAACATATGGTGGTATATAATCATGTGGTATATTGCTAATTCTTGGCATCATAAGTCATAACAGAAAGCTAGTTTGGCAAGTCCAAGAGTGAACTAAATAGAATTGTCAGAACATATGGTATAATATTACACTTGTCTTCTATACTTCTGACAAAGAATTTAAATTCCTTCCAGCTAGTAAAACACTAGTCAGACAATTGGCCCTTGAAATCAATAAAACTACCGTATAGATATACACATACATACACAAAAACATGAAAATTATAATCCAGGCCCAAAAAAAAGGTCCAGCATGTATTTTTTTACAAGCTTGCTTCAAAAAGCTGGATCTTAACCACACCAGCGACGAAAATGATCTTTCTCTGATCATAGCACTCTCAGGCACCCTTGGCATGTAAGATTATGATCTTACGATTCAACACTCGATACATTAAGCAAGAGATCTTACGATCCAACACTCGATCTTGACTACACTTGAAACTACTAAGTGATCTTGGTCACAATAGCCCCCTCCATGATAATTTTAAGGACTTAAATGGTCGACCCAAAAGAACTAGACTACTGTTCTCAAGGATTTTCAATATCAGAGATCATTAGGAAATTTAGCAAGTTACCAGGACCAAATTGCTCAACATCTCTAATTTCAGAGACAAAAGTTGCGGTTCACTCAAAACAATTGGGTAACCATCTAGCTCCTATAGGTCATTCATTGGGATGATACTCAGATTCACATAACAAA